ACAACATCAATGAATTCATCCTTATGAATCCAAAAAAAAGAAATAAAAATAAGAAGGGAGAAGAAGCGGTTATGATCGAAGCAAGGACAAGAAAAGAAATTGAAATACCTGCAATCGATTAGGTAGATGGAGGGTTTGATTTTAGGAGGCTGTGGCGACGTCGATTTGGTGGTGTTCCGGCGAAAGAGAGTTTACATCAGAGACTCGATCTTTATTGGCTCAACGTTTTATCTTCCTTATGTCGTTAGTCTGTAGATCATCTTCTCACGAACCCTAGTTCTGCTACCATCAAACCACTAATAGGCCATATCAATTGTCGATTCTCCATTTTGCATTCAATGTTATGTGTAATGCCATCAACAAGCACCATCTTCCTCATTCTTGTCCATTAAACACCTCTATATACCACCACAGATCAACAACATCAATGAATTCATCCTTATGAATCCAAAAAAAGAAATAAAAAATAAGAAGGGAAAAATAAGGGGTTATGATCGAAGCAAGGACAAGAAAAGAAATTGAAATACCTGGAATCGATTTAGAGATGGAGGGTTTGATTTTATGAGGCTGTGGCGACGTCGATTTGGTGGTGCTCCAGCGAAAGAGAGTTATTTTTAGGCGGCTCCAGCGACAAGTCAGCCTAGATCTTCTCGGGGGATTTGTCGTGAGGTTGAGGGGAGTCGAACAGTGGTGGTCCCGTCGAAGTTGTGGAAGCGGCGGAAGTTGTGGGTATGAGTTTGGTTCATACCCTCTACGACAGTGAGGGGTTCCTCCATGAGTACCTTCGATTAGATATACAGTAATTCTCAACCCTGTAGGATGCTAGGGGGTGGGAGATTGAGGAAGACATGCTTATTTATTAAGTCAATACCATGATTAAAGGAATTATTTTTGGAATTTACTAAACAAATTACTAAATTACCCTTATTTATTTATTTAATTATTTAATTTTTTATTTAATTTTGATTGGCCCACATTTATGCATACAATAACACAATAGTTACTTTAAACACTTGAACCTATCTCTCTCTCTCTCTCTATATATATATATATATATATATATATATATATATATAATTTGGTAAACGTCTTTAACTTATATATAAATATTCCATTTAATAAAATACAAAACTTATCCATATTATTGGTTGTTAAAAATAAACAGATGAACATTTTAAACAAGTAATTATTTTCGTTTTAATTTTTATATATAAACCGACTATTATGTTTAAGTCAAACTTTTAATATTTTTAAAAGTAAAGATTATTTATAAAAAAATTCATCTGTATGAAATATTAATGTATACTTAATGGAATTATATAATTGTTATATGATAAATACAGCCCTAAATCGACGTTAAGTTACGCAACAATAGTTCTCGCCAACGTTGACATATACAACCTTCAATCGACGAATACGGACCTCTCTCCGGCAGTTCAACACCTCTCTCCCCGGTTCACCAACGCGCTCCACCCCCTCCTGTCGATGCACCTAGGTATTGTTGGAGATTTTTAGATCCGTTGCAAATAAAAGAATTCAAAATAAAGTTGACCAGTCAAGTCTCAAGACTTGCACGTGCAATTACTTAGTCGTCAACTATTTCTTTAGGTTTAGCTTTTTTCCCTGTTTTCTTGCTTTTCAGTTGTTTCCCTTTCTGTATTTAAAAGCCTCTTGGCTCATTGAATAAAGTATCTAATTCGTGAGCAATATACCACTATCTGAGCATTTCATTGTGGTATCAGAGCGAAAGATCCATTGTGTGAGTTTGAGAGCAAACACGAGAGCCAGTGAGGCTATCAAAGAGTAAGAGCAAACACGAGCGTGAGTGAAGTTTCTCAAGGTTTGAATCATGAATGACGAAAAGATGGTTGTGCCAATCTTCGATGGTCACTACGAACATTGGAGTGAAATGATGGAGAATCTGATGCGAGCAAAGCAGGTGTGGAACCTAATTGATCCCGGAATCAGAGAACCGACGGTGGGAATCGCTAAGAGTGAAGCTGAAAAGAAGCGATTGGAGGAGCTACGCGTGAAAGACTTGCAAGTCAACATTATCTCTATCAAGCTATAGATAGAGTAACGTTTGAGCAAATCATGGACAGACGAACATCCAAGGCTGTGTGGGACTCGATGAAGCAACGTTTTGATGAAAATGACAGGGTGAAACGATCCATGTTGCAGAAGCTCAGGAGAGATTTCGAGGTACTGGTGATGAAATACAGTGAAACGATTCCTGAATACTTTGGAAGGGTTCTCACAATCTCGAATCAAATTAGAAGCAACGGTGAAAAGATGGAGGATGTCAAAACTGTCGAAAAGATACTCAGAACTCTAACAGAGAAATTCACGTATGTGGTGGTGTCGATTGAGGAGTCAAAGAATGTTGATGAGATGTCAATTGAAGAGTTGCAAAGCACCCTGATTGTGCACGAACAGAAGTTCAAAAGGATTGAAAAAGATGACGAACAAGCACTGAAGGTGGAGACAGGGTTCAGTCCAACTGGAAGAGGACGTGGGAAAGGTCGTTTCACTGGCAGAGGAAGGGGACGGGGCCGTGGACGACTATCATTCAATAAAGAGACTATAGAATGTTACAACTGCCACAAGCTAGGGCACTATTCTTACAAATGCCCTCAGTCAAAGGAAGCAAACTATGTTGGCTTTGATGAAAACGAAGAAGTCATGCTAATGGCTGAGGTAAACGAAGAAAAGCATGGGCTCGTGACAGAATCAAGCAAAGCGATGCTTTGGTTCTTGGATTCAGGCTGCTCCAACCACATGTGCAGAAATAGGGACAGGTTTCTCAATTTTGATTCAAGTTTCTCAAATTCTGTTAAATTGGGAAACAATACTCGTATGATGGTTGATGGAAAAGGAAGTGTGAAGCTGCATTTAAACGGAGCAACATATGTACTCAATGATGTCCACTATGTCCCTGACCTGAAAAACAATCTCTTGAGTATAGGCCAGCTGCAACAAAAGGGAATTTCCTTTCTGTTTCAATTGGATGTTTGCAAGGTCTACCATCAAGAAAAGGGGTTGATTTTTCAGAGTATTATGAGTACAAATCGCATGTTCCCAATTAGTGAAGATTCAGATGACATCATTGAACACAAGGCTGAAAGTTGCATGTACACTAGTGAAGAAGACAATGCCAAGTTGTGGCATGAAAGAATGGGGAACTTAAGTGATACAAGCCTGGAGCAACTTCAAACAAAGGACATGGTTTGTGATCTTCATAAGTTCTCCACCAACAAAACAGTGTGTGGGGAATGCATGATAGGAAAACAAACAAGGAATCCAATTCCAAAGATGAGTACCTGGAGCGCAACTGAAATCCTGGAACTTATTCACTGAGATAACTGTGGACCAATAACTCCTGCATCACACAGTGGGAATAGGTACTTTCTAAGCTTCATTGATGATTACAGCCGCAAAGGTTGGGTGTACTTGTTGACTGAAAAATCCCAAGCACTTGAAAGTTTCAAGCAATTTAAGAGCAAAGTTGAGGTCGAAACTGGAAAGGTCATCAAAGCTCTTCGCACAGATAGAGGAGGGGAGTACCTGTCTGATGCCTTCAAGACCTATTTCAGTGAGCAGGGAGTCAAAAGGCAACTCACAACTAGCTTCTCACCACATCAGAATGGAGTAGCTGAGCGAAAGAACAGAATAGTCATAAACATGGTGGTATCCATGTTAGCAGCTAAGAAGATGCCAAAGAAATTCTGGGGAGAAGCCACTGTATGGAGCTTTTATGTATTAAATAGGTGCCCAACTAAAGCTCTCTCAGATACAACACCTCAAGAGGCTTGGAGTGGAATTAAGCCAACAGTTTAGCACTTTCGAGTTTGAGGTTGTTTAGCTCACGTCCACATCCCAAAACAAAAGCGAACTAAGCTAGATGATAAGAGTGTGGTATGCATCTTGACAGGTGTTAGTGAAGAATCCAAGGCATACAGACTTATCAATCCTCAGACATTGAAGGTGGTTATCAACAAAGATGTTGTTTTTGAAGAGCAAAAGTGCTGGACATGGGAACAATCAAGTGAAACAGAAGAAGAAAAAGAAATTATATGGGGTGACTATGACCTATTTGATGACTATGAATTCATTGATAATCATCAAAGTAATGAAGTTGATCATGAAGCCACCAGTGAAGATTCTGAATCTCCAAATGCAAGCTCAAGTGATGACAATCCAGCACCACGGGAAGGACGACCTCAAAGATCAAGAAGGCGCCCAGCTTACTTAAGTGACTACTTTGCAGGTGATGAACCAATTTTCGACTCTGATGAAGAAGAAGATGAGTTAAATCTCATTGAGTTGAGTCAACCCCAAGATCCAACTCGATATGAAGAAGCAGTCAAGGATGAGAGATGGAGAAAGGCAATGGATGTTGAGATTCATGCAATTGAGAAAAACAAAACCTGGCGTCTTGTTGATCTCCCAAAAGGAAAGAAGTGCATTGGTGTGAAGTGGCTATTCAAAACAAAAGTAAATGAGAAGGGAGAGGTTGAAAAGCATAAAGCCAGGCTCGTGGCTAGGGGTTATGGCCAAGAATATGGAGTTGATTATGTAGAAGTGTATGCTCCAGTTGCTCGTATGTATACTGTTCGTTTGATAATTGCCCTAGCTGCTCAAAATGGCTGGTGCATTTACCAAATGGATGTAAAATCAGCCTTACTCCATGGAACTCTAGAAGAAGAAGTTTATGTGCAACAAACACAGGGGTATGTGGTGGAAAACAGTGAACACAAGGTGTACAAACTCCAAAAGGCCCTATATGGACTTAAGCAAGCCCCTAGAGCTTGGTTCAGCCGAATAGAAACATACTTTGTAAAAGAAGGTTTCAAAAGGAGTTGCTCTGAATATACTCTGTTCATCAAAACAAGACCAGAAGGCAAGTACTTGTCAATATATATGTGGATGATCTTCTATACACCGGGAATGATATGGGAATGCTGAATCAGTTCAAAAACTCTATGATGAGAGAGTTTGAAATGTCAGACTTGGGTAAGATGAGATACTTCTTGGGGATAGAACTATTCCAATCCAAGGCTGGAATTCACATATCCCAGCAAAAATATGCAATAGAACTTCTTTCTCGCTTCAACATGGTGAATTGTAATGCTGTGATGAATCCAATTATTCCAGGATACAAGCTAAAGATGGGAGAAGGTGAGCCTATAGATGAAACATTGTTCAAAATCCTGGTGGGAAGCTTGATGTACATCACCATAACCAGGCCTGATATCCAGTTCATAGTAAGCTACATTAGCAGATTTATGTCTAAGCCGACTGATATTCACTTTGCTACTGCAAAAAGGGTTCTGAGGTATCTACAAGGGACTCTAGATCATGGTGTATGGTACAAGACAGGAGGAAGTGGCAAGATAGAGTTTTTCACTGATAGTGACTTTGCAGGAGACCAAAGTGACAGGAAGAGCACATCAGGATATGTAGTTCTATGGGATGGAGCTGCAATCACCTGGTCTTGAAAGAAATAGAGCATGGTTGCCTTGTCATCCACAGGGGCTGAATATGTGGCAGCTGATGCATATGCTTGTCAAGCTTTATGGATAAGAAGTGTTCTTAACGATTAGGGAATAAAACAGGAAGGAAACAGTGTCATCAAGTGTGACAACACATCAACAATCAAGCTCACAAAGAATCCGGTATTCCATGGGAGATGCAAGCATATCAAAGTGAAATTTCATTTTCTTAGAGATTTAGTTGGAAAGGGAATCATAGATATGCAGCATATTGGAACGAAGGATCAAGTTGCAGACATCCTCACTAAGCCTCTGCATCGTGAGGCATATGTGAAGTTGAGATAAAGGCTTGGAGTTTGCTCACTTGAGGACAAACAAGACAATGAACACACTGTCTAGTTTGGGGGAAGACTTGTTGGAGATGTTTAGATCCGTTGCAAATAAAAGAATTCAAAATAAAGTTGACCAGTCAAGTCTGAGGAGTTGCACGTGCAATTACTTAGTCGTCAACTATTTCCTTAGCTTTAGCTTTTTTCCCTGTTTTCTTGCTTTTCAGTTGTTTCCCTTTCTGTATTTAAAAGCCTCTTGGCTCATTGAATAAAGTATCTAATTCGTGAGCAATATACCACTATCTGAGCATTTCAGGTATGTATCCGGTCTCATAACCCCTTTCTATCTATCTATTCTTGCTCTGTTTTTAAAAGCGTGAAAAGTTGTTGTCGATTGATTTTGTCGATTGCTTGATTAACTAAGGTAGCGATTTCAAACTTATGAAATTACATTTTTGTTCTACCGTTATTACAAATTATGATTCTTCTTCCAATATTCAAGTCAGTAGGCTTTTCTATAAGATAATTTTTTGGTGTAAACGATGCACGCAAGATGTTTGATGAAAATCCCCACACAAAATTCACTATCATAATATTCGATCTGTTTGATTCAAGGGGTCTGGAATAACAGTGTTAGTCCTACCATGGCAGATTACACTGTACACACTAATGGTAGAAATGCACGAAATGCTTTCAGGAAAATATTTGAATGGTACCATGAGCTAGGCCAACATACTTTTGGTGGAAAACTTATTGTTTTCCTTTGCCTTTATGATAAAATTCCTGGTGCATTCTTTTTTTACTCTTTTCCTATATTTTCCATACAATTCCTATTTTCTTTCGAAGTTATTAGGTTATATTTTATGAAACCTGATGCATTCTTTTTTCTTACAGGTGATTATGAACCTCCAAAGATGTTTGGAAGAACAGCTAATCTATCAAACAATCAGATAATCAACTACAGATGTAATCCATTTGAGAAATGGTTGGTGTTAATTGGAATTTCCCCTAGCTCACCAGAGGTTTCTATTTGACTATTTGATAGTATAACATATTAGCATATAGCGGCACATACGGTAAATTCCCGAGTTTTGATAATACCCTTATACAATTCTGATTTAAGCAGCTTTTTCAGTTGATTAGCAGCGAAGTAAAGCTCTTAAAGCACATGCAACATATTTGCTCTTTCAAAGTACAAAAGATAAGTTAAAATGGGTTCTTTTTTGTTGCCTTCATCAAAGTACATTGGTAACAATCACATATTTATATGCCTTCAATAGGTTACTGGCAATGAGAATCCTTTGATTATTATTTCTTTTGCAACAAAAGCTCTAATCCTGGACAAGTTACTTCAAAGCTTCATGTCACTGAACTAGGTTTATTCTCTTAACACATTGTTTTCGTTTTCATGAATTTGGGGTTTCTTATTTATAAAAGCTAATGCATCCCGATTCTTTACATGAAGGAAAACCCTCATTTACTTAAAGTAAGGAGACTTTTTCTTTCCTCCCCACTTTCAAGATGATTTTCCAGTTGCCATGTACGTAATTTGTGTTTTGAAATAGGGAGTTGCATACTTGCATCATCAACTAACCTATTAATTTTTGATTTAGCACTTGTTATTTTAGTGGGAAAACTCACTAGAGAACTACTAAGAAAGTTGCGATCTTTTGGCCCACAAGAGTCTTTTTTACACTTAACAGATAATACTCCTTCCTATCTATCCTGGTTTACTTTTAATTGTCATCTGATCTGATCAGGGGACTACATTTTAAGATACAACTATTATTGTTCTTGGGTTCAAAATGAAGGGTATGGTGGTCAACCCAAACAGATAATTATCATTTATTAATCATTTTTTGTATTTGTATTAATTGAACAATATGATATTTGGTTACATTTTATCTTTCAGACAATAAGCTATATGGCAGAGCATGTGGTTGGCCAAGATTCATTTGAAATTATGTTTCAGGTAATACTTTGAGTCTTTAAGCAACAACTCTGGAAAGAGAGATGTAGTGGAATTACTGTTTTACCCTCTTGTGCATGGACTAAGATCAACCATTTCGTTTTCAGTCACTAATTGACATTTTTCTTGTAATGGTCACTCCAAAATATATGGGTAAAAACTATGAAATATAGCATGGACTAAGATCAACCAGTTTCAACGTCTTGTTTTATATACTACAAGAAACAATGCCTTTAGCGGCGACACAATTACCGGCGGCACAACCCTTTAGCGGCGACTCTACCATTTGTCGCCGCTAAAGGGTTGTGTCGCCGGTAATTGTGTCGCTGGTAATTCTGTCGCCGCTAAAGGCATCTCACCCGAATCCGCATTTACCCTCTCTATTAGATCTCAGCCGTTCGATCGAGTATCTAATCCAACGGTTGGGGTCTCTTATCCGCACAAACCTAATACCGGCGACATTTGTGTCGCCGCTAAAAGTCTAAAATGTCGCCGCTAATAGTGATCTAAAAAATGACGCGGTACCCTTCCCTCCAGATAGTCGCCGCTGTTACTATTACCGGCGACAATTTGATCAATAGCGACGAAGCAGTAGCGGCGACTTATTACCGGCGACGTGTCGCCACTATTACTATTACCGGCGACAATTGGACCTTTTACCGGCGACTTTTGTCCCCGCTAATTATCTTTTTTCTTGTAGTGTTGGTGGTGATGATAAATGATAGAGGAAGGAATTGGTAACCACATGGCCATGACATGATTTGAATAATTGTTTCTCTAATAAATCGGGTATCATATTGTATAAAATATCAAAAATATATTGGCCAAAGTGAAAAAGAAGAAAATAATAGAGAAATTCGGTATGGTGCTCACTTAACCTCCATAATATCTAACAAGTCAAGTCTTATGTAGGTCATATATATATATATATATATATATATATATATATATATATATATATATATATATATATATATATATATATAGAGGTTCTATGGAAAACAAAAAAACCCTAAAAAACCCTAAAAATCATAAATATATATATATATATATATATATATATATATATATATATATATATAATATATATATATATATATATATATATATATATATATATATATATAACAACAACATCACATAGATGATAGAAAGAGGGCTGAAGATATGATTTAACATATAGTTACTTATAAGTGTTACCGGGATTTACAAGTTGAGTTTTATTGGTTATGGACTTATGGGATGCATAACGAAAGCTAGAACAAACAACGTTCATACATATTATGGAGAAAAATGGATATTCAATGAAGTTAAAACAACCAAATTGTCCTTATATGGATGATGCTGATCATGTTAGGTCTACAAAAAATTCTATAATTCGAGAATGATAAAAAATGATAGCGATTATCTAAAATATCACGAGACTGAAATAAATCATGAAAATGCATGGCACGACTTTAATGTTGAAAGGACCTAAAATAAAACCGAAAAACTTGGTCAAAAAAAAAATGTTGAACTCGGAGCACGAAGTTCATGAATTTCGGGTTGATGGTGTGGTTCGAATCCATCACACCTTTCTGATGCCCGTTCATGGACACGATAATTCCTTACTCTTTAAACGTTATTTCTGTTTAAAGCTAACGAGGAACCATTTTCTAGTAAGCTTTTCATGCTCTTCTTCATCAAGAACTACTTGATCTTAGACTCGTCAATCGTCATAATATCTTACGCCTCCACCATGCTTAATTATTATATGATATGAAATATGTTCATTTTTATTTGACAACATGAATATAAATATTACATGATTGCATCACCAATTATCACTTATATATACACGACTGAGATACCACAACTTTCACAAAAAGAACAACTTCCAGAAAGAGATACAAGAAATGGCCAGCATATCTAAGAGATGGACGACACTAAGTGGAGAAGACAATTGGTCAGGCCTATTAGATCCTCTTGACATCGATCTAAGGCGATATATTATCCACTATGGCGAGATGGCTCAGGCAGCAAGAGACGCTTTCAATACAGAGAAGACATCAAAGAACGCCGGAAACAGCCTATACAATCGTAGTAATCTCCTCACAAAAGTTGGCATCGAGCAAGGAAACCCTTTCAAGTATGAAGTGACAAAATATTTCTACGGCACATCCTCAGCCCCTCTTCCGTCTTTCCTTGTAAAGTCATTGTCAAGAGAGGCCTGGAGCAAGGAATCGAACTGGATAGGGTACGTAGCAGTGGCTACAGATGAAGGGAAGGTGGCATTAGGGAGGAGAGATATTGTTATTTCATGGAGAGGCACAGTTCAAAACATGGAATGGATTAATGATCTAAAATTTCCGTCGGTTTCAGCTCCGGAAATATTTAGAGAACATCATCATGTAAAAGTTCAACATGGGTGGCATTCAATCTACACCACTGGTGATCCTGCATCTCGTTTCAACAAAGCAAGTGCTAGAGACCAAGTGAGTTTCCTTTATAATTTTTTATACAAAAAACACAAGCTAGCTAGTTTTAATAAAAAAAAGTATTCTAATCACTTTATTTGAAATATAATGAATAGGTTCTTGAAGAGGTGAGGCGATTAGTTGATTTATACAAGAACGAGGAAATAAGTTTGACAGTAGTCGGGCATAGCATGGGTGGAGCACTTGCGACGCTCAATGCAGTTGATATCGTCTCAAATGGATTCAACAAGACTACAATGGGCATGTCTGGCAAGACGTTTCCTGTGACAGCTTTTGTTTTTGGTAGCCCTCGTGTGGGAAACTCGGACTTTCAAAAGTTTTTCTCTTTACATAAGGACATCCATATCCTACGCGTTCATAATGCACACGATGTGGTTCCACACTACCCATTGAAGATAGGTTACTTGCACATCGGTGAAGAGTTGGTGATTGATACGAGTAAGTCCGCATACTTGAAGAGTCCTGGAGACATACACAGGTGGCATGACATGGAGAGTTACTTACATGGAGTCGCGGGTGCACAAGGTAGGGAGGGAGGTTTCAAGCTAGAGGTTAGACGGGATATTGCTCTAGTAAACAAGTATTCGGATAGTTTGTTGGACGAATATCATGTGCCTCCTATGTGGTGGGTTAAGAAGAACAAGGGCATGGTTCGACAAGCAGATGGATCGTGGTTGTTGATGGATCACGAGGATGATGATGTTTGTATCTCTTAATAACAAAATAAAAGTCGCGACATTTTTGATGTGTGGTATGCGGCCATATGTGTCTTATGCTTAATTGATCCATTCCTAAAATAGTGGGATCATTGTTTTATCTAAATCGACTTTGTTTGGTGAATGAATAAATATATGGAATCATTTTCATCATATTAAAGAGGAATGAGATAATTTTTGACACCTATAAATCCTAAAACAAAACCCACCACCAAGACAAGTAAGCGAATTATTTGGTTCTCAAATGCTTTGAAATTTGAATGGATAAAAGCGTGTAGGATGAAGGAAATTAGAATATAAAGGAATCATACTATATTTGATTTTCATATTTATCAAAAGGAGTGGAAAATGAATTATAATATGAACAAAATACCATTTAATTGATTTTTGTAAATTATTATTATTATTATTATTATTATTATTATTATTATTTAAGATAAAATTTTCATTTATTAAAATATTACCCATTCAAACTTATGTCTTTTTTTTAATATATAGACAATTGCAAAAATAATCCATGTCGTATGTCGAAAATTGTCATTTTGGTTAAAAGACATAGACTAACACAATCGGTCTAAAACTTTGCTTTTGTTGCGAGTTTAATCCAATTTGTTTTGAATTTTTTTTTAGAAAATGACACGTTTGCCTTTTGTATTTCATTTTCTATTTTTTTATATTACAATAATTAAGAAAAAAAAAGTAAAATCGATCTTTGTTATCACCCTCCACCCCTCTCTCATTCAGAAAAAGGAAACACTGCCACCATCTGATTCCGATTACTAAGTTTTTCGGCACCGGAAATGTTTTCCGTCGTACCAACCAATTCCATAGCAAACCGTAGCCAAACCTTTCTCACCTACGACAAACATATATGGTAGGGCAGCGACTTCGAGGAATCAAGCAAAGAAGATGAAGGGCGAGATGCTTCTGACGACTGAGGAATAAGTCCTTTCTTCATCAGAATCGAACCCTAACTCAAGAACGATATATATATATATATATATATATATATATATATATATATATATATATATATATAGACACACACACACAGACAGAGAGAGAGAGAGAGAGAGAGAGAGAGAGAGAGAGAGAGAGAGAGAGAGAGAGGGAGAGAGAGAGAGAGAGGTGATGTCGAGAAAGAATGTTGACCTCGTTTATGTACAAACCCTAGCTCCAATCTTCGGGACCCTAGCAGTGGATGGCGGTGACGTCTTTGGTGGTAGACAACGCCATCTTCTCATGTACCAAATTCACTGGAACCACATTGGATTCCACCTCGATCCCTGACCTTAGGTTCCATCGCTGCCTCGCTCTCACCTTCACCAGTTCAGGGTTTACAAATCCAATATTCGTTTGGGAAAACTCCAACGGTCGTAGTTCGTTCGCCGCCTTTCTCGGTTCAAATCTGTTTGTCGACGGAGTTGGTGGGGAGCATGTGTGACAATCGTAAATTGAGGCTAGATATTTTAAGGGATTATAGTTATAATTATTAATTTTATTGAATAATTAAAATTCTCAAATAAGATAATTAACAATAAGCAATCTAAATGAAAGTTGTAGTAGTCGTAATTACGAACCCGCGAGTATAACGAACGCCAAAATATGACGTCGTATGAAGAATTTATATAGCTTTTTGAAGTTGCATGTTCAACAGAGTGCGACAATATTTGTCATAAAATACAAAACAAAAATAGATTACTTTTGAGCCAAAGTAGTATTGATGAATGTTAAAGTATACGTAAATACTGAACCATAGATATAAAAAAGTCAATAACGGAACACGTATGAAGAAGTTATGAATTTCGCAAGGTCTTTCACAGTGTAATCTTTATAAAATATAAAGTGAAGATAGATTGTGAGTTAGCTGTAGAGATCTAATGGAAAGTTGTAGTACATAGAATTACAAAATCGTGGATATAAAGAACGTCGAAAACGAATTTAGTATGCAAGAGACATGATTTATAGAAGAAACACGAATTTACCCGACAATTTAATGAGCTCTCAAACCCGCACCTACCTGGAATGACGTGGCAGCACCAGAGGCTGCCACATGGCAACTGCATAACCCATTCCTCTTAATAACCAGCGATGACGTGGCTCAACCAGAATGGACACGTGGGCAGGGCGTGACGCGCTTTTTAAAGACCCTATATATGGTTCATTTCTCCCTTCTTTTTTCACACCTTTCTCTCTCAACTTTTCCCGCACCCTTGGGATCCGATTTTCTAAGTTCGTGAGTATTCTTAGCGAGGTGTTGCAGCGTTGGAAATCCCGATGAAAAGAAGTATTCAGCGTCGAATTTCCGCTCGCATAGTTTCCAAATTTTCACTAGAAAACCTGTTAGTTAAGTTCCATTTACTATGATTGTTAAGTGTAACTTATATTGATGTTCATTGTCGTTGTTATGAACCTATGAATAAGATTTATCATCAATTCCAATTGTTATATTGATTGATCTTCTTACGGGAGTGATCTCTAGGCAAGATCTTAGTGAGGTGTTTCAAGTGGATTTCGATACAATATATTTATATACCAAACAAATCATACATCCAATATGATCTTATATGGTCATTCCTTATTTGCTAGAACTTGGTATTTGTTGCGATTAATGAAGAACCCATAAATAGTGAATATAAATTTATAAATACAAAAAATGCTAAGACTTAGTAATATTTGTATTTAGGCCGGTTAAAAGGAAAAATGAAAGTGTTAGGTGAGGAGCTAACCTAACTGAGAATCTGCCACCTCCATCAGGTGAGTGCATGGCTACTTTCATGATCATAATTTTAATACAAGTAATTAGTAAAAGTATTACATGTTAGTGAGTAGTTACTTTCATGAACATGATGCTAATAAAAGGGTTTGTTATATAAAAGATTAACTGTATATCTTGTATAGTGAGTGTGTAGTTACTTTCAACAACACAATCTTAATAAAAGTATATGTTACTTAAAAGATTAATTGTATACTAAATTCTAACTATTTGTGTTCTGTGCTAAATAAATCCCATGTATTGTGATAATACTGCATGAAGGGGAAAATTTTTATTGAAAGTTAATTACATGTATTGTAATCTTGTCTACTATAAACTAAGACTTATATAGAATGCCTAGTTTAATGTAAATTGAATAAGTGAGTAGTTATACCTTGTATTGTAATAGTATTGCATGAACATGAAATCTGTATTAAAAGCAGAATACTTGTATTGTAGTGTGGTTTAGTTATAAACTAAGACTTAGAATGGATGTCTAGTTCAATTAAGTTGGATATTGGGTAGTCTCATTCTGGGGTGTTTGTGAGATAAGAACGAAGAGTAGAGCTATGTTCCGTGACACTTTTACATGTCGGGGTATGGATTTCGTACCAAAGTATTGCACTAGTATTCCTTTAGGCAACCAGAAATGGTAGGTCTGTATCATGCAACCGGCGGGTATGTCTTGTCGTCTCCTGGGGTAAGATGACAACCACTGACTCTTTCTAGACTATCTTTTAGAACTGTAACGTCCCAAAAATATCAAGTAAAAATTTCATTTTTAATTAATCAACCCATTCATTCATTTGTTCCAAAAGATAATAAAAATAATAGTATTCTCAAAACATCAGAGTAAAAATCACAAATAGCTAATCCGGAATACACTCCGGGGGATGCAGTGCGATCACGTCGAGCCTTTCCTTCTGGGACTGGAAGTATCTGAAAAATGTTTAAACCACAAACCGTAAGCACAAAGCTTAGTGAGTTCCCAAAATACCGTATACCATACATATCAACGGTCCCAACCTACACATTAGGCCCAACCCATAATAACGGACCCACTCCCACAGATTAATGGGCCCAACCGAACATACAAATGGGCCCAACCAAACATTTCAATGGGCTTAGCCCAACATGTAAATGGGCCCAACCCAACATGCATACTAATGGGCCCAGCCCAACACACAATGCAACAGTCACAAAGTCAGTTAGCATCCTACACAATATAGTGAGAAGACTCACCTGAATCACGAGATCAACTAAACCATAGGTCAGTGATTCGCAACATATGCTACAACACTCCTCTCAAAACATACATGGTCCAATCTTTTTCTACACACTAAATCTAGAAATCTTGACTTAAAGTCAACCCAAGTCAGCAAGTCAACAGTCCAAGGTCAACCCTCGAAGTCAACAGACTAAAAATCACCTCAGTATATCGTCACATCGTAACCTTCCATTGGCCACGTCGTGGCAGCGTGAAGACAGAACAGTCGAGTCCTTAACCAGTCGCCACAACATGGTAGCCTGAGGCCACACCGTGTGGAATGGTCTGAACAACTTAAAATATTAAGTTGTTTTCCAACAACTCCAAGAACTCCAAAGCTCAGGTCTGGTACATCCCAAGGTCTTAATGGATAAAGTTTCCAAATTTATCCCGTAAGTCATCCCAATAAGCTAAAACTTCTAACCCTAAGTCCTTAATGACATATTAAGACAAGAGTTAAACCATTAAGCTCTTAATCAATTAAGTCACCAAACCAAAATTTCCAGAAGACTTTCATACCCAAAAATATACCATAAAAATTTTGCTTTATGGACATGCATGTCCAATGCATGTCTCACCCAAAATGGGTTCAAGCCAAGGAAGAGAAAGGGATCAAACTTAAGCATGATGCCAAATACACCAAGGAACACTAGATCTGGAACATGTAACTTCAAATGGACCTCTAGGATCCATAAAGTTGACAACTTTATGGAATCCATTCCTTCAAATTCTATCAATATGAAGAAAAGGGACAAGAACCATAGATCTAGAAGCACAAACTAGAAATCTTAGAACTTGAATACTCACAAGGGTCCAGAATATGCTCACGATGGTGATGATGAAGTTGCTTGCTGGATTAATGCACCAAAACACCCTTCTTCTTCTTATTCTTCTTCTTCTTCTTCTTCTTCTTCAAGTCACCAAAAACACCAAAATGAACCAAAACTCTCTAAGGGGGCTAGGGTTTTGAGGTAGAGG